CATGGTAAGTCCAATGGAAATCACACCCCTTTTTATCCATGGTAAGTCCAATGGAAACACACACCCTTTCTATCCATGGTAAGTCCAATGGAAACACACACCCATTTTCTATCCATGGTAAGTCCAACGGAAACACACACCCATTTCTAACCATGGTAAGTCCAATGGAAACATACACCCCTTTCTAACCATGGTAAGTCCAATGGAAACACACACCCCTTTCTATCCATGGTAAGTCCAATGGAAACACACACCCCTTTCTATCCATGGTAAGTCCAATGGAAACACACACCCCTTTCTATCCATGGTAAGTCCAATGGAAACACACACCCCTTTCTATCCATGGTAAGTCCAATGGAAACACACACCCCTTTCTATCTATGGTAAGTCCAATGGAAACACACACCCCTTTCTAACCATGGTAAGTCCAATGGAAACATACACCCCTTTCTAACCATGGTAAGTCCAATGGAAACACACACCCCTTTCTATCCATGGTAAGTCCAATGGAAACACACACCCCTTTCTATCTATGGTAAGTCCAATGGAAACACACACCCCTTTCTAACCATGGTAAGTCCAATGGAAACATACACCCCTTTCTAACCATGGTAAGTCCAATGGAAATTCACACCCCTTTCTATCCATGGTAAGTCCAATGGAAATTCACACCCCTTTCTATCCATGGTAAGTCCAATGGAAATTCACACCCCATTCTATCCATGGTAAGTCCAATGGAAATTCACATCCCTTTCTATCAAGTCCAATGGAAATTCACATCCCTTTCTATCCATGGTAAGTCCAATGGAAATTCACACCCCTTTCTATCCATGGTAAGTCCAATGGAAATTCACATCCCTTTTTGTCCATGGTAAGTCCAACGGAAACACACATCTCTTTCTATCCATGGTAAGTCCAATGGATATTCACACCCCTTTCTATCCATGGTAAGTCCAATGGAAACACACACCCCTTTCTATCCATGGTAAGTCCAATGGAAACACACACCCCTTTCTATCCATGGTAAGTCCAATGGAAACACACACCCCTTTCTATCTATGGTAAGTCCAATGGAAACACACACCCCTTTCTAACCATGGTAAGTCCAATGGAAACATACACCCCTTTCTAACCATGGTAAGTCCAATGGAAACACACACCCCTTTCT